ACAGTTGCTCAGATTCACAAGGGGACCTCTGGAAATCCTGCCACTACTCCACGTGCCCCACCAGGAAAGAACAGCGCAGAGCCGGGGGCCCAGTGATGAAGACACTAACCCCAAAGCTCCAGGAAACAGGTAGTCGTGTACAAGTATCTCTTCAAGGTTTTCCACAGATACCCTAGGCACCACATCCCTCTCATTGGGACAGAAACTGCAGGGAGAAGGAAGGACAGGATGCATGTCCCCTGCACAGGGACCCTCCAGGACTCTGCGGAAACCCCCTTCTTCCTTCTCTGTCCCTGTTTCTTGCCCCGCCCCTTTTCTCTCTCTTTTGTCCCTCTAGTTCTATCTATTCTAGTCCATTCTCTGTCTATGGCCTCCTCTCTCTCCCTCCCTGCCCCCCCCTCATCACAGGGTCTTGAGCTTGCAAACACCTGCTTCCAGGGCCCAAACTGGGGCTTTCCCCCCCCCCACTTCTTTCTCCCTTCTCCATCCATCTTTGTCTTCTTTTCTGTTTGTCCCTCCACCTCCCTCCACACTACACACACACGCGCACACACACACAGACACACACACACAGACACACATACACAGACACACACACACAGACACACACACAGACACACACACACAGACACACACACACAGACACACACACAGACACACACACAGACACACACACACACAGACATACACACACACAGACACACACAGACGCACACACACAGACACACACATACAGACACATACACACAGACACACATACGCACACACACACACAGAGAGACACACACACGCGCGCACACACACACAGAGACACACAGACACACATACGCACACACACGCGCACACACAGACACAGAGACACACAGACACACACACACAGACACACACAGAGACACACGCACACGCACGCAACACACACAGACACATACACACATACACACATACGCACACACACGCGCACACACAGACACACAGAGACACACAGACACACACACACACAGAAGCAGGCTCTGCCTGGGTTCTGAGCTGGGCATTCCTGCTGAAGCTGGGGAAAAAGTGTGTCTTAGGGGCATGTGAAAGGGGTCCTGCTGAGGCGAAAACTGAGCACACAGGCAACACACCCTCACAGGCCACTCTAACCCCTTTCTTTTGGAACAGCTCTCTTTAAGGATGGCTCCCCCCACAGGGGAATTCCTGAAGCCAACAGTTGACAAACCCACACACCCTCTGAGGGCTGGGCACCAGATAAAAAGCCCTCCTTAAAGCCAGCCCTCCTGGGGACGGTGTGGGACCCAGCAGGGCAGACCTGCCACTGTCACCACGTCTCTGAGATTGATCCTGATACCAGCACAGGACAGAGGACCTGACCTCCTGCAGGACCTACGGCTGATTGACCCCTGCTGAATGCTGGGGCCTCTGGGGCACCCACTCCAGCTGAAGGCAAAGCACGAGGTGGACAGGCAGAGCACCTGCCCCTGTCACTAGCTCCAGGTCTGCCAAGGTCACCTACACTGAGTCCCGCTCGCAAGGCAGCACGCAGCTGACATCTGCACCCAAGAAAAACTGGTTTTCTAAGTTTTTCTGGTTTATTCTCAGCGCACGGATGAAGGCTCTATTTCTGTCTCTCTGTTGGGAGGGTGAGCTTTGCCAATGACTAATCCCAGCCCTGAAGATTGATACCCTTGTCACCTGCACACGGGACCCAAGCCCAGCAGGGAAGTGACGAGATAAGCCCTTGCCTGCAGCTGAAGCCCCAGCCTGCCAGGGCCACCCGCCTTTTGCTACTGCAGAGCAACCAGGGGCTGTCATTGCTGCCAGGGCCACCTCTGTGCTCCTGCAGACACTGACATGGGTTCATCACAGTGACCACCTGGGACCCAGACTGCCCCTCACAGGGGATTAGTAGTGGCTGCCTCTGCAGGAGAGCGGAGCCCCTGGATGGATCTTGGGACCCGAGCCCCTCATGTCTGCCCTGCTGACGCTGTGTGTGGCGCTCTTGCATCTGGGTACCCCGGGCTGTGTCGCCCAGCACTGGGAGCCCTGCACAGGTAAGGTGGCCTCATGGGGACCTGGGTAGGGTATCTGTTGTGGAGTTGGAGGGGAATGGGTTTGGACATGCCACTTCTGGATCCCAAATCACTGCATGTAGAATGCTGGCCTCCTAGACAGCTGGACGGACGGACAGATGGATGGTGGGGTTATGGGGGACAGGGAGATACAGTAGAGGGGGCTGCACAGACAGTTACAATAGAAGGTCTCTCTGAGCTGCCAAAGGTGGGAGGAGTTTCAAGTTTCAAAGAGCTACCAGCAGCCATCGAGGCTTCGCATGTACTTACCTGCTTGGCTGCCGGGGAAGGCCGAGCACCTGCTTCAGGAATGAAGTCCCCGGCCCTCGGGCTCCTGGCATGGAGATGAGCTATCCAACCTGCACTTAGCAAAGCTCTGGGCTGCCACGGGCCTGGCTCTGTCCCCAGTTGAAGGAGAAACATAGGCCCGGCCCCAAACACACCCACAACCCACACCTGGGTTTAGCCTGAGCTCCTCAGGGTGGGCTCACTGCAGGCCTCCTCCTCTTTTAGAGAGGCCACTTGGGAGCACTAGTGACCACAGCATGCTGTCCTAGGGTTCCCAACAAGAGATCCTATTTATCAAGTCACAGTTTATGAAATAAGGAAACAGGACAGTTGGATCTGGTACCTGGACCTCCTGGGGGACCCCAGGGACAAGTTGTGATGTGTATCTCGAGTTTCATATTCCTACCTCCTCCTTGGTTGCCAGGAAGTGTGAGGCTCCTTCATGCACTGGCCTGTTGCTCTCTGTGACATGTCCAGGAGGTGATCCTGTGACCCAAGCTTGGAGCACTGATGTGCATGGATGGTGCAATTTACAACCTAATCACACAGAAGTGATTGGCTGTGAGTTCCAGCAATCGATAGATCATGGGCTGTGAGTGAGAAGGCCCCGGGGGCCCCGATACAGGACCACAGTGGGAATCTGAGGTGGGACAGAAGCTCCCTGGCCCTGTATCCTGCTCTCCCACAGCCATGCTTTCAATGATGGATTTGAATGTGGAGCTTCGTCAGCTGTACGTGGCTAAGTCGGTTGTCACTATCCCCTGGCTCCAAGCAATGGCACCTGAGTGCCAGCCTTTCCCCCTCTTATGCGGGGCCACCCCATGCAGGTGAGTGTGTGAGCCTCAGGAAGACCCTGTGCAAGCCTGGCTGGGTGTCATAAGCTCGAGCGACCATGCTTCCTGGACCAGGATGAATCACGGACATGTGCTTTCCTGTTCTTGAGTCTGGGGAACACAGCCGACTTGTATATGATAATAAAGGTTATTTATAAAGCCCGCCCCCTCTCCCCTGGAGGTATGTCTCAAATCGTTAAAAGATGACCCAGTTATAAATATGGTGAACCAGGGAGGAAATATAAAAGTCAGGCTGATATTATGGAGCTACATCGTAAGATGCTTGAGAGGCCAGTGAGGGTTCATCTGGGTTTAAGTCCTTGTGGTTCTATCCTGTGAGCATTGAGCAGTTCTGGACTTCTATGAGGGCTCCCTTCTTCCTTCCCTTGGCCTGGGCTACTGCCTCAGCAGGTGGGAATCTGGGGGAAGCTTCCATAAGAATTCACAGCCCTCACTCTTGTCTACAGAAGTGACCAGGAGGCCTCTTGTCAAGTGCTTCCTGGTGCTTAATGTGCAAATGAGGTGACAAGATGGGGGTCTGGTGTCTGGTAGGAAATACCTTGGGTCTGGCATTCTGGTTCTGGGAACTTTCTGAGAAGGGCCCAGTGACTTCGCTCTCCAGCAGGTGGCCAGCAGTATGGCTTTCAGGAACCCCAGGTCTCAGATACTGTGGAGTGTAGGCTGGGGGAGGGGTTCCATCATAGACTCATGGTCATTCCAGATACCAGGTGAGTGAACTCCCAGGGGTGTTCCGCCTCCTAGTGGGAGCTGACCTCACTTCCCTCTCCTTGACAGGAGGATTCCCAGGAGAGTAAGAGGGCAGGGGCAGGGTGCCACCTGTCTTCACAGCCCTGGAAGGCAGGAAGGCATTCCCAAGGATCCTCCCCTCCCACCTAGCCCCACTGGCCATGGTCCAGGCCTGCTGAGGGTTAGAAGTCCCTGGGGCAGGCTCCTGGGGTGTTAGGGTTCACAGATTCTTGGGGTGACAGCCTGGAAACCTGTTCACTTCTACCCTGCTGTCTCCTGCATGGGCAGAGTAGGGCTCAGAGCTCAGAGGACACTGGTGTGGGAGTGGAGAGGGACAGTAGGCCAGAATGTGGCTGTGGCTAAGAGGATGTGGCATGCTTGGGGCTCTGGAAATGTGGGGAACATCCAGGTTGGCCCCAAGGAGAGATAGACATCCAGTAGAGCAAGTGTAGGCCCCAGATCCCAGACCCCAGAGAACAGATTATGAAGTGCCTGCCATTCATCTTATTTCTCTTTAATACCCTCCCGTGACCTCCAAGCTGTACTTTTCATGGGGACACAGGTTGGGACATTTGAGTAGATTAGTACAGGGGCCTGCCATACCTTGGCTGGCCCCTCCTGTTCCTGAACACTGACAGTCAACCAGGGAGGATGAGACTTGGGGACACAGGGTTCTCTTGGGTGGGGGGACTGATCTGGCTGACAGTTACCAGTCACAGTCCTCTGGGGACTCCAGCCAGAGGTGAGACAGGCCATGTCCTGGGGAGTTCATCTGGAAATGCTCTCAGAATGTCTGATCTTTGCATGAGGCAGAAAGAGGAACACTCAAAGGCCAGGACGAGAGGTTTATTAATGGCATCGGAGAGAGCAGAGGAATGCTGGGAGGTCAAAGTGCTACTGTGCCTTCATAGGAAGCTGCAGGTTGGGAGGTGGGTACCAGCTGTTGGGGCATGACATCAGAGCTGTTGTGCTATGATGGTACCAAAGCTGATACTGCAGACAACAACTCCTACAGGTCACCGTGAGGCAAGGGAGGAACAGAGCTCTGGGGTCCCCACAGGACAGGCATATCAGCAGCTGGACTTCTGGCCCAAGGAGAGGCCACAGCAGGCCTGGCTGGAGCAGGCAGGGCGGCAGAGCAGGGACACGCTGGAGCAGGGCTTGCAGCAGCTGGGCTGGCAGGAGGAGGCACAGCAGGAGGAGGTGGGCACACAGCAGGCTGGTCTGCACACAGGGCGGCAGAGCAGGGACACGCTGGAGCAGGGCTTGCAGCACACAGGCTTGCAGCAGACAGGCACACAGCAGGAGGACTGACAGCATGAGGGCTGGCAGCTAGACTGCTGGCAGCATGAGGAGGATCCAGAGCAGATGGGTGTGCAGCAGACAGGCTTGCAGCAGACAGGCACACAGCAGGAGGATTGACAGCATGAGGGCTGGCAGCTAGACTGCTGGCAGCATGGGGAGGATCCAGAGCAGATGGGTGTGCAGCAGACAGGCTTGCAGCACAGGGTCACACAGCAGGACTGTTGGCAGGGGGAGCAGGTACAACAAGCTGGCTGGCAGCTAGACTGCTGGCAGCATGAGGGTGTGCAGGAGCTGGTACAGACAGATTGGCAGCAGGGACTGGACACACAGCTCACTGGAGTGCAGATGAGGGTTAGGCAGGGGGCTGGGCCACAGCAGCTGGGCTGGCAGCAGCTGGGGACACAGCAGCTGGGGACACAGCAGCTGGGCTCACAGCAGCTCTCTGGGCAGTCATCTACCTGCCAGGAGGAGTCAGTACAAGAATCACAGGAACCGGGCAGGCAGACCCGGCTGTCATAGCTCAGGTCACTGGAGCAGGTGGAGGTGGCCATGGTGAGCAGATCTGGTAGCTGTGTGTGAGTGTGTGAGTGTGAGGGGCTGGCTGTCAGCTTTTATACCCTGCACTGGGTGTGTTGTTGGTGCAGGTGGCCCTTCACAGTAGCTCTTTCCTTGTTGGTGTTTGGAGCTGGTTCCTGGAGAGCCCTGTCAGCAGGAAGATGCCACTTTACTAGTAAATGTCCTGGCTGTGTGTTGGGCTAAGCCAGCAACCTTGATGGGGATGGGATCCAGGTAGGAGGCAGCGGTGGTCAGAGGCTGGGTATTGTTCCTCACATGACATCCACGTTATTTTGTTCTGTTTTTAAATGCAGGGCCTCTCTTTGGCCTATGGCTCACTGATTATTGAATTAGGTTGGCTAGCTGGGGAGTCCTAAGGATCTGACTGGCATCACCTTCCTAGTGCCACGATTTTAAAAACACGGGGTGTGGGGACTGAACTCAGGTCCTCATGTTTGTGCAGCAATCACCTCGCCCACTGAAACTCTCCCCGGAAAACAGTCCAGAAGCTTTCTATCACCTTCCTGCAGTGTACAGGGTTTAAAGGCCAAGCAAAATTTAACACTCAGCAAACTTTAAAACGTAAGTAAAACACACAAACGGCTTATTTTCTCTTTTCTTCCATTTGCAAATGATTTTTTTTTGAGTGGCTTATGAAGTGCACTGTTAGATTTAGGGACAAACAGGAAGGCAAAGACCATGAAACTGGAAGTCACAAGCATCCTGGCCCTTAGTAAACACAGCTCATTTCTTGTTTCTAACATCCGTGTCTGACCAGTCTGTAAAAAAACACACATTACCTCTCTAGGTAATTTGGCTTTATTAGTAGTTTTGAAGGTGTGTGTGTGTGTGTGTGTGTGTGTGTGCGCACACGCCAGAGGACAGCCTCTGCTGTCACTCCAGGATCTCACAGTTTGGAGCTGGCTGGCTAAGTAGTCTAGGCTGGCTAATCAAACTGAGGCCTTCATGTTCAAAAGAGAAACACTTGACTGATGAGCCATCTTCCTAGCCATTCTGAATGAGGAACTAGATCTCTGGGTGAGGACTTCTTTCCCCTGTCAGGCCCCTGAGTTCCCTCCCCTCTTTCTGTCTGCAGTACTCCCCCTCCCATCTCCCCTCCCCACACACCAAGTTGTTTCCCCAAGTGGTTTTGTTTTATTTATTTGTTTGTTTGTTTGTTTGTTTATTTAGTCTCAGCAATGATTGGCCAACTAAAGCAACGACCTGCATGCAGGCTTTATATGGTTGTTTATGGATGGGGTTTGACAGGGTGACTGAATCCAACTGGGACAATGCTCACAGTTTACTCAGACTGCTGGCCCTGAGAGGAAGAGAGGGGAAAGCCACAGGTCAGGTCTACGCTGGGGCAGGGAGCGGCTCCTGGGGCACTAAGGTCCTGTCTGAAGACACTTTCCCCTGGTGTAGGCAGCCTAGCTCTCCCACAGGCACTGCTATCACAGGTGGGCATCAGGGCAAGGCAATCACTGTTAACTCAGATGTGGGAGGCAGGAGAGCCCAGATGAGGACTGAAGGTACCCACATGTAGCGGGGTGCTCCCTCCTGGGCCGTGGATTAGGCACAAACCACACTTAAATACCTATTTTGACAGAGAGATCCTTTATTAAACAGGGAAGAAAGTAAACTGGCCAATTTCTGACCCAGGCAGAAAATCAGGAGCAAATGACCTTGCAGGTGTGATTTGTAAGAGGAGGGGAGGTCGGTATTAAAATGGGCTAGTATGCAGTGGGACATTTTAATTGGGGTAGCCGAAAGGGGGCTTTGGGTTGCTGGACTTCAATACTTTGATAGCCTCAGGCATGAGTCTGGTATAAGAAAGTGTCCCAGTAAGGGAATAGACCTTGGTAGCTAGTTTTAGGGATATAATCTAGGGTTTAAAAAAGAAAGGGAAGGGGAACAGGGGAAGGGGAAAGGGCAAGGCCTGCCAGCACCATGTTTGCTATGCCCAGGCCAGCTAGAGCCCCTTCAAGAACTGTTGTGGGTCTTGAAATGTGAGCGCAGGTCTTCCAGAGGCAGGAGACCTCTGACTCCTGGGAATGGTGAGGTTTATCTTTTTTGTTGCTTGTGTCATCTCAGAGCTGTCTTCTGACAGCTGGGAGGTGTGAAGGTCAAGTCCTGCAAAACTGGCTGTGGCTCGTTGTGTGTGTGCTTCTTGTGGTAGCTGTATGGAACCCCGAAACATGTTGGTGAGATGCAGGGCCAGGGCCAGGCAGACAAAGGCATGGATAGACAGACAGCAATTTGGATGGGTCACATCAGCAGTGGGGACCAAGGAGCTGAAGCCTCAGGTGGGTATTCTCCTGTCAGTCCCTTGACACCCACCCAGTGATTAGACAAAAGGCCAAGGGTAGTTACCAGGCACCCTCCTCTCCATGGACTGAGGTGAGGGCATGGCACCTTCTCTTGGTCTGGTGTGATTGACAAGCTCTTGGGCCAGGTTTTTGCGATATGGCTTTAATAGGCCCATGTGCCCATGTGTTCCCAATCCACTCTGATAGTAAAACAGGGAACTGGTTTTTAGGAGTTCAGTCTTCAGTCAGTGACAGGTGTTGGTGATGGTGTACACAAGATGCAGAATCTCCCTGCCTTGGGGTCGATACTCACAATGGCACCAAATGCTGCTGGCGAAGTGGAAGGGATCCAGGGAAAGGTCCAGCCTGCACATGGCTGCTCCATAGCCTGGGGACAGTCAGGACAGAAGACTGACCACCACAGCTGCCGCCTCATCTCTCTCTGACCTCGGGATGGAAGGTAGGAGACTGGGCTTGACCTCCAGGCTCACAGCTCAGGGACAGTGTGGCTTATCCCTGCAGAGGAACCGGAGCGGGAGGCTGCAGAGTTGGCAGGCCTCGCAACTTGGATGAAAGCTGTGTGTGAGATGCAAGAGACGAACAGGAGGGGCAGGTGGGTGGGTGCCTGTGCCCCCCCAGGACTCTTGCCGAGTTCCCCTGCCAGGGACAAGCGAAGGAACAGGGAGAGGAGGCAGACTGAGAGTGAGTGGGGAGCTCAGGGGAGAATGGAGACTGTGGGGGGCAGACAAGACATGGAGAGCAAAGGAGGGGAGGCAGCTGCTGGCCCTGGAAGGAGTTTGTGTGGGAGACAGCAGCCCGGCTCTGCATATTTTCTGTGGGTTATTTGCTGTCTAAACTCAAGGGGCAGCCTCCTGGAGAGATTTGAAGCCCTGTGCTGGTTCCTGGGCTCTGACTCCTCCTAGCACTGGGTGAGAGGCTGGCTTTCCCTTGTGAGGGACTGAGCCCGCTCTCTCTTCTGAGGGGCCAGGTTCTTAGCAGCTGCACCAGGGAATGCCCAGCTGGTACCAGATGCACTGCCACCTACCCTGAGGGTTGCTTGTCCTTGCCAGGTGGGAAAGAGGCTGGCCCAGAGGGGTGGGCAGGGGCTGCCTATGACCAGGCCCAGGACATGCTGGGGAGGGTGGGAGGGCCCCCGCTGTGCTGTTTCCTGTTCCCCCATCAGGGTCCTGATGTTGGTCCCACTAGAGTCCAGAGGAAGAATGAGGCATGGATGAGTTAAAGGAAAGTGTTTATTAGGATTCTGAGGAGGCTTCCAGATAGAGGACACCTGGCACTTTCCCACAGAGGAGCCCTGACACCTGGACTGTGGAGCAGGGTTCCCAGGCTTGTGACCAGAATCTTAGGCTGGGAGTGGCAGAGAGTAAGACAATCCTTTGTTGCTTGATGGAACACCCAAGCTTAGGCAGGGCCTAAGCATCTGAGGCAGCTCAAGGACTAGGGGGAGATGTGAGGGATCCCCAGGGGATGGACCCATCAGCAGCTGGACTTCTGTCCCGAGGAGAGGCCACAGCAGGCCTGGCTGGAGCAGGCAGGGCGGCAGAGCAGGGACACGATGGAGCAGGGCTTGCAGCAGCTGGGCTGGCAGGAGGAGGCACAGCAGGAGGAGGTGGGCACACAGCAGGCTGGTCTGCACACAGGGCGGCAGAGCAGGGACATGCTGGAGCAGGGCTTGCAGCACACAGGCTTGCAGCACACAGGCACACAGCAGGAGGACTGACAGCATGAGGGCTGGCAGCTAGACTGCTGGCAGCATGATGAGGATCCAGAGCAGATGGGTGTGCAGCAGACAGGCTTGCAGCAGACAGGTACACAGCAAGAAGATTGACAGCATGAGGGCTGGCAGCTAGACTGCTGGCAGCATGGGGAGGATCCAGAGCAGATGGGTGTGCAGCAGACAGGCTTGCAGCAAAGAGTCACACAGCAGGGTGAGGAGGTGCAGCATGAGGGCTGGCAGCTAGACTGCTGGCAGCATGAGGGTGTGCAGCAGGCAGATTGGCAGCAGGGGCTGGACACACAGCTCACTGGGGTGCAGACAAGAGTAATGCAGGAGGCTGGGGCACAGCAGCTGGGCTGGCAGCAGCTGGGCTGGCAGCAGCTGGGCTGGCAGCAGCTGGGCTGGCAGCAGCTGGGCTCACAGCAGCTCTCTGGGCAGTCATCCACCTGCCAGGAGGAGTTGGTGCAAGCGTCAGAGCAGACAGACATGGTGGAGGCGGCCATGACTAATTGGAGGGCAGAGGGTGAGGCGAGGCGTGAGTGAATGTGTGAGGTGTGGTGGTGGGTGCCACTTATATATCTCTCAGGGGTTTGTGTGTGTTTGTGTTGTCCTAGCTACAGTTCCTTGTTGATGTTGGTGTAGTTCTAAGGACACCCAGCAATCCAGTGGTCATGACCTGTAGCTCCACCCATAGAACTTTCAGCTAGAGCTGAAAAGTCTGGTAGTCACTTCTCTCCAGGGAGGGTCAGTTCCCTGTTGTCCTCCATGGCCATCTCTTGAGGCCCCTTGCTCTGGCTCTCTGCTTCAGTCCTTGGTCCTTATTTTATATCCAGTTTATTTGGGGATGATGGTCAACGATCTGTGTTCATTTTCTTTATCAACAATACTAGTACTGATAGTTCTTGCTTTGCTCTAGGAATTATTCCAAGTTAGTCTATAAATATTAACTAACTAAGCCATGAGATCTTGAGAGGGAGCTGATTTCATTACTCCTAGATGGGGGAAACTGAGGCACAAGCAAGGGCTTACAGAAGAGCCTGTGTCAGACAACACAGACACCAGAACATGGATACTCCCATCCTGCGCTCATATCTGTCATTCTGCTCCCAAGTTACAGCAGACTAGAAAGGCAGCCTGGGGACCAGGCTCTGCCAGAGAAGTGGGGGTGGGTCAGGACACCTGGTAGAGCTGTTTGGGGCAAGGTAGGGGAGTTGTCACTCGCTCTTCTAGGACTGAGCACTGGGGCCAGACTGATATGAAGGCCATGTAGCAGGGGCTTCAGGAATCTGCTCTGGAAAAAATAAAATGGCTACTTATACATACAGCAAGAGGACCCAGGAGCTGGAGAGATGATGGCTCAGAGAGGTTAAGAGCATTGGCTGCTTTTCCAGAAGTCCTGAGGCCAATTCCAAGCAACCATATGGTAGTTCACAACAGTCTGTAATGGGATCTGATGCCCTCTTCTGGTATACAGGCATATATGCAGATAGAGCACTTGTATATACACACACAAAATAAATAAACTTTTTTTAAAATTAAACAAAAACAAACAAACAAACAAACAACCAGGGCCCAGGTTGATTGACAGGCAGAAAAGAGAAGGAGGTGTTCAGAAGGAATGTTGGAGTTGGCTGTGTTCTCAGATGCAGGAGGCTTTCCAATGAAAATGGATCCATGCTTAAATTATCTTATAACCTTTTTGTTTGTGACACTGGGGCCCTGGATGATCAAGCTAGGAGGGGCTGGGCTAGGGCATGCCTGAGAACTTGGAGAAGATCCAATGCTATGGCTTGAGTGTGAAGCATTCATCCATGGGCTCATGGGAGTGCTATTTTGATAGGTTGTGGGACATTTGAACACAAAGCACATAAGACTATAAGGGCAGAGCTTGAGGGTTCTAGGCTGGCTCTGGCTGCTGCTGAGTTCTGCTTCCTGATGTGCCATGGCAGAGGAAGCTGTGTCATAATCACCAGCCCCACTACAGATGGAGCCGAGGTACTGCACCTATCTGGTCCCAGTACCTTCCTGGTCCAATAGAAGTGCCTTTATTTTTTTTCCTGTGAGCACCCGCCCTCTCCCTGCAATACTGCCCAGTTGTTTCTTAGGGACTTTTCAACATCTGCAATACATGTAAGCGAAAAACTGGTACCAGTAAGGGGTGGGGAGTTGTCATGATAAACCTGGCCACATGGCTCTTTGGCCTTTGGAAATGGCTTGGGGAGGAATGTGGAAGAATTTGGAGCTGTGGACTAGAAAAGTTCTAAGATGCTATAAGCAAAACTCAAAGGGAGTGAAGAAGACCAGGAAGCTGAGTGAGCTGCTGCAGTGTGAGGCTTGGATGGAAGCAAGGACTGGAGACCTTTGGTGTCACGTTCAGGGCAAGTAATCTGATTAAGTTTTGTTTGTGTCTTGAGAATGTGAGTGAAGCTGAATTTAAATGCATTTGGGCTAATTGTTTGGCGGAGGTAATTTTAAGACACATAACATTTAGGCTGTGATGTGGCTGTTGTTGACTGCCTTTAGCCAGGTTTTCAGGACTCTGTAAAAAGGTGACATTTGGACAAGAAGGAGTGTAGGTATAGTTAACATTTTAGACTGGATGGGCATGGAGGGCAAAGGCAAATCAGCTTTAACTACCAAAGAGATTAGCACCCACAAAAGAAAAGTCAAATATTTTTTCTTTTTTTCTATTTAATTTTTAAATTTAAATTTGAAACAGGGTTGCTTTACATGTCAGTCCCAGTTCCTGCACCCTCTGGTCCTCCCCTGTTTCCCCCACCAACACCCCCATCCCATTCCCTTTCTGCTCCTCAGAGAAGGTGAGGCCTTCTATGGGGAGTCTTCAGAGTCTGTCATATTATTTGGAGCAGGCCATAGGCCCTTCCTGTGTATCTAGGATGAGGGAGTATCCCTCTATGTGGAATGGGCTCCCAAAGTCCATTTGTATACTAGGGATAAATACTGATCCATTACCAGGGCCCCCATAGACTACCTAGTCCTCCTAACTAATACCCACATTCAGGGAATCTGGGGCAGTCCTATGCTGGTTTCCCAGCAATCAGACTAGAGTCCATGAGTTCCCCCTTGTTCAGGTCAGCAGTTTCTGTGGGTTTCTCCAGCCTGGTCTTAACCCCTTTGCTCATCACTCCTCCCTCTCTGCAACTGGATTCCAGGAGTTCAGCTCAGTGTTTAGCTGTGGGTGTCTGCTTCTGCTTCCATCAGCTACTGGATGAAGGCTCTAGGATGGCAAATAAGGTAGTTATCAATCTCATTATTGGGGAAGGGCATTTAAGGTGGTCTCTCCACTATTGCTTAGATTATTAGTTGGGGTCATCCTTGTAGATCTCTGGACATTTCCCTAGTGCCAGATTAAACCTATAATGGCTTCCTCTATTATGGTATCTCTTTTCTTGCTCTCCTCTATTCTTTCCCTGACTCATGCCCATCTCTCCCCTCCTCTTCCTCCTAACTCCCTCTCCCCTCCCCCCATGCTCCCAATTTGCTTGGGAGATCTTGTCCTTTTCCCCTTCTCCAGGGGACCATGTATGTCTCTCTTTGGGTTCTCCTTGTTTCCTAGCTTCTCTGGAGGTGTGGACTGTAGGCTGGTGATCCTTTTCTCTATGTCTAAAAACCATATATGAGTGAGCACATACCACCATGCTTGTCTTTTTGTGACTGGGTTACCTCACTCAGGATGGTTTCTTCTAGTTCCATCCATTTGCCTACGAATTTCAAGATTCCATTTCTTTTTTTCCGCTAAGTAGTACTCCATTGTGTAAATGTACTACATTTTCTCCATCCATTCTTCAGCTGAGGGGCATTTAGGTTGCTTCCATTATATTACATATAATGCTGCTATAAGCATAGTTGAATAGATGTCCTTGTTGTATGAAGGTGCATCTTTTGGGTATATGCCTAAGAGTGAAATTACTGGATATTGAGGTACACTGATTCCCATTTTCCTGAGGAACTGCCATACTGATTTCCAAAGTGGCTGTATGAGTCAAATATTTTTTCACTGGGATAATGAGAAAGGAGCCTTGGAGACATGACACCAGTCAACGAAATCACCACGGTGTAATAATGCAAACTTGGGCTAGAGCGATGGCTTGTAGAAATCCTTTTCATAGTCTAGCTACTCACTTCATCAGATGCACCACTTGTCAGTATCTTCCCTTCTGCAGACTTTCTGGTAACACCCTCCACATCTCTCATCTCTCTCGTGCAGTCTCTCCGCCTCTTTGTGTTTCCCTCACTCTCATCCTTCCTTCCGTCTCTCCATCCACACTTCTGATGAATGGTGTAGTCTTTTGAGGATCCAATAGTGTGTGTGTGTGTGTGTGTGTGTGTGTGTGTGTGTGTGTGTAATTTGTCTCTGTCTATCCTCTCCACCATGTTGGTTCAGGATTGATCTCAGGTCACCAGGGTTGAGTGCATGTGCCTTTACTCAGTGCTCTGCCTCACCAGCACTTAACTACTACTACTACTACTACTACTACTACTACTTCTACTTCTCCCTCTCCCTCTTCTTCTCCCTCTCCTTCTTCTTCTCATCTGGTTCTGATGGAATGATTTCTATTGGTGTTTCAGGTCCTCTGACATTTCTTCATTCTTGCACCTGTTATCAGGCTTGTCTTGTGTATATTTATATTTCAGCTATTGTACATCTCAGGTTTAGAACTCCCTTTTGTTTGATTAATTCCACTTCCCTCCTGGGAATCTCTACCTATTCACTCGTGAAGATAATATTTTTCTTTGATCTGTGGACATAAAACAGCTGCTTGTGGTCACCGACTGTCCATCTCTGTAATGAGATCATCCCAGATTCTTTCTGCTGGGTGCTTTTACTCATGAAGGTGATTTATATCACAAAATCTCTTATGTCTGGTTATTAATAAAAATACATTTGGAGATTCTTGGTTCTATTATCTTCTTGTGACTATGGGCTTTTGTTCAAGCATACAGCCAGTTGTGTGTCAATTATTTTGAGCTTGTGTAGGTCTGGTTTTAAACTCTGTAGGGGTACAAATGTGGAAAGCTCACTTAGCCTCTACTGAAGATTCCACCAATGTGTCTGGAATCCCGTGGGTTGGATTAGGTGTCAGCAGTGAGTCTTCCTCTAGATTCCAGCACAGTCATCTTGGGTCCCAGTTGGATGCTGGGGAGTTGCTCAGTCCTGTGGTGGCTCCTCTGTTGTGGCCTGGCTCTGACCACCATGTCCCAAGCTCTTTCTGGGGTACATCCTTCCCATGTTCTAGATGCTTCTGCCCACCTTGGGTTCCTCTCAACCATTGACTATGTTTCACCAGGATGTTGAATCAGCAGAGAGCTGGGCAAAACTGGGGTTCATTTGGCTTAGGAGCTAATGTGTTCCTCTGTCTAGCCCTGTCTGAGTGTAGACACCTAACTGTGCATCAGCCATGTAGTTAAAGGGGGGGGGATTCCTCAGCTGTTGTCCATTCCATTAGCGTTTCAGGTTTGCTATACTCTACACCTTCAGTTTTCTGTTCCCAAAAGTTCTGGTTCATGCAGCAGACTGTGGTTTGAGCAAGTATTTGAGAACCCCTCTCTTCAGCATCAATGAGGGAAGTCCTGAGGGGAAGCTGACATCTGGTCTACCTCTTTACTAGAACTAAAAGCTTGGAGGATGTGGCTAGGGTGTGCAGTGGCTGGAAGTCATTGAGGCTGGCTCTTCCACCCACTGTAGTTATCCTAGAAGTACATAGCCTTGTTGCATGGAGTCAGGTAGTCTGCAGGGATGGTTTGGCCTTGTGAAACACTTTCTGCTTCTTTCCAGGGTGAGGTCTTCTCCACTTTTGAAGGAGGAAGAGAGGCAAGCAGAGGCTGTAATGAGGCTCAGATATTACACACAGATGAACTGATTATTAGGATGCTGGGAACATTAGCTATGGAGCATGTTGCAACTCTGGCCTGCATCGTCTAGCAAAGCATCTTCTTCTTGTCTCAAAGCTTCATTCCTGTCAAGGATGGAGTTGAAGTGGAAACAAAGAGACATGGACCCTTTCAAGAGTAACTTTAGATCATTTCTGGTGTGCTCTCTGTGTTTTACAGCAGGTGATGGGAGGGCAGATGGTGGTAAGAATATACCAGTTGCCTCTGTTCTGTAGTACTGTGGCTATAGAAGGGTGGGTTCAGTGCCAGGGAGGAAAAGTCAGCCTCACATGCATGCCTGTATCTCCTCATCTCATCTAGAGAGGCATTCAAAGACCTAGGGCTAACTCAGACAGCTCTTCCCCAACCCCAAGTGACTTGTGTAGACACTTACAGGCCCCCCTGTAGTACTGCCCTTCATGATGGTACTTGTGGCTCATTGCTGAACTTGCCAAAAGGAGGACTGGGCCTGGATCCTTGGCTTCAGGATAGGTTTCAGCTGTGGTCCTTATGAATCTATATTGACTATATCTGCTTTCGGAGGATGTGGCTGGTTCAATCAGCCTCTCCACCCCTGCAACACTGATGGATGAGGGCATTCACTGTGTTCAGCCTCTTATGTATTGCAGAGCCTTCCAGACCACAGGAAAGGAATAATCTCTGTGGTTGTGGAAGGACTTTCATCCCACAGAGGAGGATTATTGTCCCACAGGGAGGATATCTTGACTCTTAGACTTCCTTGAGCTCATGTGAGGAAATCAGGGCATGGAAGAGTCCACATAGTGCCAGGAGGGGATGGCTTGGGAGCCTAGATATAACAGCCGCTAGAATGCTGCATTAGTCATGGAGTTAGGCAAATGAAAACAAGACCATGAACAACAATAAAGTCAACCTAGGAGGAGAGAGGAAGCAAACAAGGAAGGTCAGCTGCATTCTGGGTATTCTGGAACACTGAGCTTGGTATAAAAGCCATCCCAGTAAGGACCTCCAGTCATCCCCACCCTCCTCTAGACCAGCCAGCCTCTACCATGTGTCACACAAGCTGCCCTTCAGGCTGTCAGTCAGCCTGCTGTGTGTCCAGCCCTTGCCAGCCAGCCTGCTGTGTAGTCAGCCCCAGCCAGGCATCCTGTTGTGTATCCAGCTCCTGCCAGCCATCTTGTTGTGTGTCTAGCTCCTGCCAGCCATCCTGCTGCAGGCCTGCTATATGCATTCCTGTGAGATACCAGGTGGCCTGCTGTGTGCCTGTGAGCTGCAGGCCCACTGTGTGCATGGCCCCCTCCTGCCAGTCGTCTGTGTGTGTGCCTGTGAGCTGCCGGCCTGTCTGTGTGACCTCCACCTGTCAGTCATCCGGATGCTGCCAGCCCTCCTGCCCCACCCTGGTCTGCAGACCTGTCACCTGTAGCACCCCCTCCTGCTGCTGACCAGTGTCTGTCTCCTGATCAGTTGCTGCCAGTGCAAATGGGACACATCTATCCCCTCCCTCTGTGGCGGTGGCTCTGCACCTGAGACAGGTGCAGACACATAGCTCACCCTGGAACTTGGGAGAGAACACAGCATTTCTCTGAGGATGTCTTATCTTGAGGATCCTTCTCTTACCCCAGGCACCAAATAAAGTAACTTGTCTAATCAGCTGTGCATTTCTGTCCTGGTTCTTGTCTGTCTTTCCTGGCTTCACTGGCATCAGGAAGCATGTCAGATCAGTGGTTTCTGTGATGCAGCCTCATCATGATCCTTAGGAGGAAGAATGCAGGGTGGAGGACTTGGTTAATGAGTGGATGGATGTGTTTATACCCCTGGCATCCGTGTGGCCCCTGTGATGGACTCACTGATATCTCATTGTAGTATCTGCTTCTGCTTGTCTTTCAAATGGTACCTCACTCATGCATGGTGAGTCCTAGCGTACTTATGAAAGATTTCCCCCGGGGATGTCCTGTGTCCAGGTCACAATGACTTTCTTCTTACTGAGCAGCTTTGAGATGTTTGAATTTCACTTACACAAACTTTTGTGCTCCAATCACTTTCTCAGTACTGGGGAAACTTACACTTATTTTTTATTGTTGATCAATTACAATATGACAGACACACATCTAGTCAGTTCCATATAAAGCAGTTGGAACACACATGTCCCACTAAGTTCTTGGAGTGGCCCCTGCTGGAGCCACATGTGTACCATTCCGTATCTTTTCACTCCTTGGTGTGGGTCACTTCTGTGTGTTCTAACACATGTTTTTCACTTCAGATAGTTTTTAGTGATCATGTGAGTTTCTCTGTCCCTCTTTCTGGGACAAAATACCCAATGAAAGTAACCCGAAGGAAGGATTTATTTTGGCTCACAGTTTGAGGGCACCACCCTTCATGATGGGACAGTCATGGTGACAAAGAGGGTGAGGTGGTTGATCATATTGCATCTACAGTCAGAAAGCAGAGTGAGGCTTGCTGGTGTTTGCTTTGCTTTCTCTTTTTTATTTGGTCTGGAACCCTAGTCCTCAGAATACTGCTTGTGCTGCCTACATTTAGGGGGAGTCTTTCCTCCTCAATGAAGCGCTTCTGGAATTATAATCATCAGCATACCCAGAATCACTTTTCCATGGTGACATAAATGCTGTTATGTTAACAATGGAGATGGACCATCACAGCTATAGCTGACTTCGGGGAAGGTTTTCCTCTGGGAAGTGTTGAAGACTATTTTTCCATTGGCCGGCTCTATGCCCAGTCTCTGCAGTGTTGTTTGTGGGGTTTGTTCCTTGTGGGGTTTCCTGAGACAGGCAGACTTGGGGAGGTCTCAGCCTTTGCTGCATCCTATGACATCATCCTGGACCTGTGGTCCTAGAGTTCTTACTCTTGGCTGCCTTGACCTTTTCCTTTATTCCCTGCAGGCTGGCCATGAGATATGAGTTGCAAATGTTGTTTTATCCCTTAGCATCTAAAATCATTGGGGATCCACTGTGGTGTTAAAATAAGTGCTTTTCCTAAAACTGGCTAATCTGCACATAAACCACACTCCATGCATCTATGGTAGTTTTACACCCAGGTTACACAAATACACATGCACACACATATGATCTTGTACTCAAACCCTCATGCACATAAAGGATACACATGAAGAAATACTCATGTACACATTTGTATATGCTCACTCATACCAATATACTCAGGTACTCACACTTAAACACACATTCCCACACCCATGTGTTTTAGCACACACACACACACACACACACACACACACACACACACTCACTCACAGTTCTTCACATGTATGCATGCTTTTGCAGACACACAGCCATGCTTATCTCTGTGCATTCATACACCTTTCACTCAAGCACACATGTGCATCATTCTGGTCTCTCATCTGAGAAGGGAAGACATCATAAGAATGTCCCGCTGCTGCTCAGAGGCATGGGCAGAGGCCCCGCCAGTCCTGCAGTGTTGACTTTTCTCATCACTGTGACACAATAAAGGACACATCACTTAAAAGGGACAGGACTGATCTTGGCTCATGTTCCCATTCTGGAGCCTTTGATGGGTAGGGTCTGGCCAATTTTCTGTTGCCCAGGATGAAGTGGTTGGCTTCTCTTCAATGGCATTAATCTCTTTAACAACCACACCCTCCTCAGCCATGGCTTTCTGATTGCTCCCTCTCTGGCTGGGCTGCATGGCTTTTTAATCTTTCTGCTCTGCTTTTAGTTCCTGATTCTCACCGTAAATCTGTCTAACAGCCCCCAGCAATAACCAGGCCACTGTGTGAATTCTTTGTTGTCTTGAAACTTATTCCACATGGTTAATTTAGCCACCACTATAAACTCAGCCTCACATAGTGCTTCTGGACATAGAGGAAATTCTCTTGCAGACTATCCCATGGATGGCTTCTGGTCCACTTCCCAACAGCATCCTGATATTTGATGAGTACATCCTTTTACCAAGTTTCTGTTTGCATTCTGGTCTTGACATTTGAGTTATAGAATAAATAGCTATAGCATATAAAGTCCCTATGTCAAAACTCCTACACAGTCTACCCAGACACCAAAGGCCTAAGAACCACATAGTCAGGGTTAGTCACAACAGTATCCCGACTACTCTGGCACATTTTCTGTATTAGTTATTTTTGTATAACTACGCTGAATAAAGCAACTTAAAGGGGTGTAAGAGGTGTTCAGCTCTTGGATTCAGAGAGTTTGGTCCATCATGGGGAGGACAACAGTCACATTGGCCACAAAAGAGAGATGAGAATACTTGTAAATGATTAGCTTTCTTTTTTTCCACTTTTATCCTGGATCACTGGAGGGAGCCACCCCCTTCACAGACAGTCTAGACTCTCAGTTAATTCTCCCTGGAAACTCTCACAGACATGCTAGCGATGTGCCTCCGTCTCCTAGGAGATTCTAAATCTATTCAAGTTGATAGTGAAGATGAACCTTCTTACTGTCCCTCAGGCCTCACCCCACCTCATTCTGGTTGCTAGGATCTGGGGGTGGGGTCCAGAAGAGGGTTCAGAACAAGAGAAAGCAGAAAAAGAGTCAGGCACTTTGATCACTCAAGGGTGTATGTGTGTGTGTGTGTGTGTGTGCGTGTTTGTGTGGTCTGGTTTTCTTTAAAGCCATAAGGAAAGACAATAAGACTAGGAAACAGGAGTTTGTGCAGTGCCCCAACTCCACAGTGAGAAGCTTGGAGAGATGAGACCATTCTTAGATCAACACAGTCATGATGGAGTGTTGGTCAGAATTAAGGTTCACATGCAGACAAGTCTGGTGTTTGAGAGCCTGAAGAAGAGAAATCAGCATCACACAGAGGCACCACAAGGGAGGGGCTGACAGGGTCAGGAAGGCAGGAGGACTGGCAACACCCTGGAGGCTGGCAGCTAATAGGCTCACCGCTGTCCATCTGGCAGGAGGCAGACACAGGGCACAGAGTCCATCTCAACAAAGCCCCACTTGGGGGGGGGTCTGTGTTCTCACAGCCTTGGGATGGCAGCAAGCAGTTGTGAGGCAGCACAGGGACACAGGACAGGCAGCAGGTGGCTCAAGGAACAGTTCATGTTCAGGTGGCTGGGACTGGGGTGGGGGGAACACTTGGGTGGAAAGGGGAACAGGCCTTTGGTGGCATATGGTCACACATGGACATTCAGTCTTGGACACACATGTATGGTTATGCATGTATTTACAAATTAGACATACAAATGCACAAACTCTGAACCCATGTGCACATATGCATGTGTTCATGTACACACACACATGCACACATACACATACACATACACATGCACACACACAGACACACACAGACACAGACACAGAAACAGACACACACACACACACACACACACACACACACAGAGTTATCCTCCATGCTCTTGCTTCTGCCTGCTGTCTGATTCCAGCTGGGGCTCATGGGAAGGCTCTCCCTGTGTTCAGCCTCCCACATTCTGCAAGTTCTTCCTAACTCTGTGAGAAGTGTGATCTTTGTGGGTATGTGAGGACTGTCATCCTGCAGGGGGAGCTTCTGGATGCCTGAACCTCTGGGATGTCCTGTGAGGAAACCAGGAAGTGATGGAGCTTGGTAGAATCCAGAAGGCCCCAGGGCGATGGGTGGGAGCTCAGGCCCAGCAGGAGCTGGACCAGGTATAATTAGCCATGAAGCTGAGGGCAAACAAAGCAGGAACATAGACATCAGCAAAGCCAACTGGGAGGACAGAGGAAGCAAATAAGGAAGAGCAGCTGCATCCTGGGCAGTTGGGCCACTGAGCTGGGTATAAAAGCCACCCTGGGCAGGAGCTCCAGACATCTTCACCCTCCTCCAGACAAACCAGCCTTCACCATGTGTCAGACCAGCTGCTCCTCAGGCTGCCAGCCATCCTGCTGTGTGTCCAGCCCTTGCCAGCCATCCTGCTGTGTGTCCAGCCCTTGCCAGCCATCCTGCTGTGTGTCCAGCCCTTGCCAGCCATCCTGCTGTGTAGCCAGTCCCTGCCAGGCATCCTGTTGCAGGCCTGCTATATGCATTCCTGTGAGATACCAGGTGGCTTGCTGTGTGCCTGTGAGCTGTAGGCCCACTGTGTGCATGGCCCCCTCCTGCCAGTCGTCTGTGTGTGTGCCTGTGAGCTGCCGGCCTGTCTGTGTGACCTCCTGTCAGTCATCCGGATGCTGCCAGCCCTCCTGCCCCACCCTGGTCTGCAGACCTGTCACCTGTGGCACCCCCTCCTGCTGCTGACCAGTGTCCCAAACCAGATGCTGTCACAATAGACAGGACAAATCTGTCCCCACACACCTCCTCCTTCTCTGAGTGCCAGTTTAGCGTGTGACAAGCTGGGAAGCATGCTTAGCCCACCCTGGAGCTGCAAGCAAATGCCTGCTCTTCTCTAAGAAAGTCTTACCTCCGATGTCCTTTTCTTACCCACTGTGGCAAATAAAGTGGCTTCTTCCCTCAGCTCTACATGTCTGTCTTGGCTCCTGTCTGTCTGTGTAGATGTTTTAGTATCAGAAAGCAT